AGGGTCTTCCTAATTTGCTGAGGCTGGCCTTGAACCTGAGAGCCTCCTGCCTCAGCCTCTTGTGTTGCTGGGATTATATAAACATGCACCACCATGCCAAGCCCAAAATGATTTTTATAATCAAGAGCAAAGATTGACAATATTTTTTTTGGTAAAGAAACAGATGGTAAGTATTTTAGGTTATGTGATCCAATGGGCTCTCAACTACTCAACTCTGTTGTTACAACATGAAACCATCCAGGAGACAGGACATAAATGAATGAGTATGGCTGAGTGTTCCAATAAAACTTTATTTAGCCAAAGAGGAAGCAGGTTGAATTTGGCCTATGAGCTATAGTTTGTATCCTCTGGTACAGAATTTCTATTAATGCGAGAGAGTTTGAAGTTAAAATTTTGGTTTTAATAAGGTACAGTATTGTACCATGCAAGTTGCTGTACTTGTAAGTACCTTGCTTATTCTCATGCAAATTAAATATATATTTTAATCTTTAGTTTTTCAGTCCAACATTTCTATAATATAAATACAGTAAAGATGACTAAATCCATTAATAATTACACAATTTCTCTTAAATGCTATTCAAAAATTATGTCCCAAGCTGAAAAATATTAGTTTTCTAATTCCTTAATAAATTTGTAAATTAAATGTAATAATTTTTCTTGGCAATAGAAATAAAGACTTTATAGAGGAGTTTTTAAAATGACTATCAAGTTGAATATCCATTATCACCAAAGTTGACTCATCATTAATTTGAGTTATTTTTCTGGTTTATAATTTAAAAGGTTTTATTTGGATATTTTGATTATATACATATTTTCAGATATAACTTGGATTAACAACACATATATTACATAACTTAGGAAAAATTTATGACATAATTGAGTGTAAATTAGGGCTCACTTAATTAGTACATATGTAGGCAATCCYTCTGTATTGTCCAAGATGTTTAGACCAAATGATTAGTAGGTATATATAAACTAGTGACATCTCTATTGATTTGACACATGAAAAAGGAGAAAACATCATTTAAAATTAAAACTGTTTTCTCAGAATAATTCTAATTTTAATTCAAGCATATTCCTAATTCTGAGTATAGTTTTAATACTCAACAGGATTTGATAACTAACTAAAAATTTACTGATAGATGGTAAAAACTACATTAAGCCCTGTAATGTTCCTTTCAAACGTTTAGTGAATTGGGAAAGACTGTTTAAGACAAAGACATATAGAGACGGGGCCTAACTCAACATTAGACTTTTTCCTTCAAAGATTTTTTAAAATTTCAAGAGGAAAAAATGATTACTTCACAGTCTAGATTGTAAGCCTAGTTGGAACCAAGGCCTGCAGAGCTGAGGTGTAAAATGTTAAAAATCTGAGATTGACTCTAGTTAAAATAAATAAATAAACAAACAAAAAACCCAAAACTGAAAAAGAAAAAGGAAAGGAAAAGCTTTGTTCTGAAAATGTGTTCTTTAATGCAAATAAAAATTCACCTTCCAAAAGGAGAAACAGAGATGAGTGGAGGTAATTTAGTTTTTTGGGAAAGAAAAATATTGTTTCTTCTTAGTTTACAAGCTCTGAGAATGACATCTCATTCTCATTGTAAAAAAACTTCTAGGACCTAAGATATTCATAAAAATCAACTTGAAATACTTTTTTTTTGAAAGAAGAGGACAAAAAAGACCTTAACTTTTAAAAAGTGAAATAAAAAAAGAGGTCTCAGTAATTGGTCTTTGATTTCAGATATTTTATCTACTTACTTTTCTTTTTTTAAAATTCATATATGACAGCAAGAATGCATTACAATTCTTATTACACATGTAGAGCACAATTTTCCATATACACAATATGTTCACACCAATTTGTGTCTTCATACCCATACTTTGGATAATAATGATCATTACATTCCACCATCATTAATTACCCCATGCCCCCTACCTTCCCCTCCAACCCCTCTGGCCTGTCTACAGTTTGTCTATTCCTCCCATGCTCCCTTCTCCCTATCCCATTATGAATCAGCCTCCTTATATCAAAGAAAACATTCGGCATTGGGTTTTTTGGGATTGGCTAACTTTACTTAGCATTATCTTCTCTAACTCCAACCATTTACCTGCAAATGCCATGATTTTATTCTCTTTTATTGCTGAGTAATATTCCATTCTGTATATAATGCCACATTTTTTTATCCATTCATCTATTGAAGGGCATTAGGTTACTTACTTTTCTTCATAGCTTTTTTGTTTGAGAAGATAGAAACATTCAAACATTGAACTTATTCCACAATATGTATTATTAAGAAAACTCTGCAATCTCTGAAATGGAAGTAATAAATTTCCTACAAGTAAGCTGATTCAATTAGTTGGAATCTTCTATGAATTAGTACTAGGAGTGAAATAAAATTATAGAATTCAGACTGTAAACTTCAGAGGACACAGAATGTCAAACATTCTTCTGAATAGCATATGTGTAATTATCAAAAATAATGCAACTAGTGGCTTTTGGTATTGTTTAATAATGTGGTAAATATGATAATAATCATAGCACATATTTATATAGTGTGTGGCTCATATCATCCTYAGCACAACTATTTTACTATTATTAACTTATAAGCACTCTGTGAGAAAGGTATTAMATTTATTCTTCTCATGTAAGAAAAGAAATACAGAAGTGAAAATATCATGCAAATGGTGTTTTATTTTTGTTGTTACYGCTCTTGTTAAGTGAATATCTTTACCCATAATAACTGTCTTATCTGACTAACACAATGAATACTAGTCCTTTAATATGATCTGGTAGAACACACAGATTAAAATGGCAAAATTCAATGTTAGTTTTCTTCAACAGTTAATCTACCTCACACAGGGACTGGATAACTCTTAAAAAAAGGTTTCCTTAAGGAATGATCAAATTATGTTGTATGCATATACAAATAAGGCAAAATGATTCCCAATATTATTTATTATAATGTACCAGTAAAAATACATCTAAAAATGAAAAAAAGGTGTTTCTTATATTATTTGAAATCTTATAAATGGGCTTGCTAATTTCTTTCATAATCTCTTATCCAGATTTAGAGATTGAATACAGTTTGGCAGTACACTATATTAAGAGATATGTGGAAATAATCTAAATATCTATCAAAGATGAATGGATAAAGAAAACTCAGTGTGTGTGTGTGTGTRT